AGAGAGAGAGTTTCTAAACTACTAACATCTACTAGTAAATGGTAAACCTGGCGCAGGCTGCAGCAACCGACTGCGACGGAAGGGGATGAGCATGCTAGGCGAGTTATGCCGGCATTGTTCTAATTTAATCATACATGCCAGGACCAGCCAAGATACCGGCTCAAGAAGCAAGCCGCTAGTAACGATCCATCCGTGCAATTCAGCGGCACTTAGATCACCCCTATTCTCTCTCGTCCTTGTTCTCGATTTTCTTCAATACATAAGTATATCATTCTTTACTTAAAGTATAAACTGTTCTCTCATGTAATTGCAAAAATTATATTCTAATTGATTTATATTATCGACATAACTTAACGTTCTATTTATACACTCAGTTAATATTTTTGATTATAATATCGCTGTGTGTTCTTACAATATTATTAATTTTTTTATACCACTATATCTTTAATTCGACGTTTAATTTTACTCATTATTTGCTTCATATATTTTTGTATAATTCAACTGCGGTACGTAATCAACCGATAATAAATTCTTTATCACGATATCTTCCTCGCGTCAAGTCCCAAACGTCACATTTAAACTGGCTCTCGAAAACGATGGAATCACCGAATTTCCGCTTGCTACGCGGACCACCGGCCCGGAAACGGGCCGTAATTTTACTCCGGCCGTACTTGAACGGGTTAAGTCGTTGCCGAGGGAAACGGCGTTACGATCTCTCTCGAAGCGGAAGGAGGAGGAATGACGCTCCTCGCACTTCTTAGGACAATTGCGTCTCCGTCGGCTAAACTATCGAAGCAACGCTAATGGCGGATGCAAAAGGAACACGTCGTAATCGCGGATTTGCCACGTAAAGCGTCTTTTGAATTTTCATCACGTATTCCGCATTAATCCCGAAGTAATTGAGTCACGCTATTCGATGAAAATGCGGAAAATCAAGAAGAAGCGAAACCGCAGATATTTTTACACGTCATTTATCGTTATGTATTTGAATTCGTGCTGCGAATGTAAAAAGAGGATAAAAGAGATCCGAATGTAATTATAAATGTGGAATCTAATCAATGTCCATTCTATCGAGACAAGTGAAAAATACGATGAGTTTAATATTGATCGATGTTATTTCAAAACAAATCTCTAATTCTATATATAAAAAAAAAGTATTTTACAATTTTTATCTGTAAATTCTCGTTTCTATCGTGGAAATTGTATACAAATTTTGTTTGCGATCGGAAAATGATCTCGGCAAATGGACGCATTGCCTTAACGCGAAAAGCGCGAAAGTTTTTCTCGCTTTAAACGAAATTCAGGCTCTTGTTAGGATCGAAGATTGTTTGCAGAAATTGATGAGATATCTACCGCGATCGAGTACTTCGATGTCGTGAAAGATGATCATGATAGGTTGCTGGCGACAGAGGATCGATAGCTATCTCGTGATCTATCAACGGCATGCTTCGAACGATGACGAGCGCAAAATACCGACTGGAGAAGAATATAATCGCACTCGTCGACATGCGAATTAAACCAATTTTCTCGGAGCTGCTCGGACCATCGAAGAGCCTCTACTTTTAAGTTAAACTCGTTCGCGGAGGCTACACATCGGCGCCTCGAACGAGCCGTGATTACCGTCGAATCCTAATGAATTACGTATTTTAACGCGATAAACGAAAGGAAGATAAATAATCGAAACCAAGCGAAGTGCTGGTAAACGTCAATGATTACGCGTTCGTATTTCTTTAGTACTTTAAGCTCACCGAGGCTAAAGCTTGCTATTTGAAGCTTAATGCGCTAAGTCTGTCAGTGTTGAGGATTAAGTATTAATCCTTAATGCTTTAAATCCAGTTCAATGGCGATATATTATTATGCTTTAAGAATTACGCTTCAGCATTTCTATTATGCTGCTAATAAATGAAACGTAGACTTTAGTAACGCAGCGAAATTTATTTTCGTAAAATTTCTCAGATACAAACAACATGTATAGAATCTGTCAAAGTTGTTAAATAACTAATATACGGATTGATCGTATTTCCCCCATGGCGATCGTATTGCAACGTCGATCATCCGGTGCTCTCATCCGCAAAGCTATATACCCATTTACGCGTGTCAAAAGCTTTTTCACAATTCGATGTTTTTCCTCGGCTGGATAACGGAATGCACGCGTACATCAACAATATCACGCAAAAAGCGCGCCCAATGAAAACGACCACAGAGCGTTCTTTGATTACCATCTCGCTTTGTATTTTCTTTTTCATGTAATTACGCGGTTCGTGCTATGGGTGATCTGCCTTTATGAAGACACCCAGCTGCTATTCTTTCACGCTCCTCTCCACCTTTTGTCATTCTTTCTTTCACAAAATAAATTTGTTCATTGGCTGGAAATACGTTCCTTTTTCTCTAAATGATAAAAGACTATTGAGCGATATATATTAAGCCCGCGATATTTGCTATAAAGATTTATAAAAGATATAAAAAGCTTCTCTTTATAAAGTATTTTATAATTTTATGTGAAAACTTACACTTTTTTTTCCTTTTATAACAAATTCCGCATAAGAATATCTGTATAAAGACAATATCTCTAGAAAAAATAGCATATCGATCGCGCCGAGTTCTAAAACTATAATTCAATAGTGTAAGTTGGTAAAACCCATCTCTGAATTTTTAATGGCGCCAGTAGATTCAAGTTAGAAGACTTCCTCTAGGAAGCAAATGCGACGGCAAATCGCTTTTGCTTCCTAGAGCAAGAAGAGGTATGTAGGTAGTTAAGACCGTTATTATTGAGCAAAGAAGGGTGAGAAATGGAGAAGGGTCAGATATGAAGACTAGTCGCGCACACGTATATATATATATAGCTTCTTGTTCTTTCGCCCTGCCAAATGCCTTTCACATACACGTGTGTGATAGATACGTGTAGCTTCATTTGCAGATCAAGAGGAGATAAACGATTTGCGGACGCGGACGAACGTCTTGAAAATGGTAGATTGGCTAATCAATGTATATCGGCAAATGTGATTTTAATGTCAGATATAAAGCGGGCAAGTATCACAATATTATCCATATTATGCAAAGCGTTCTAAATATTAGCTGTATTACTTCTGCGCTTTAAACGCGCGACCTTTTAAGTTCCTTCCGCAGGATATCGAGTATTGGATCTCTACTTACGCAGTTATTAAATTTCCAAAGCTCTTATCCAGACATGCCTCGCGGCAGCATCGAATATGTACTTACGACTAAGCTTAGAATTCCCGACCCTTCCGGGAAGCTTGATGGAAGAGGAAGCAACTTCGCTCTTCTCGCAGCAATTCTCGAACTTATACGACAGGAGTTTTGCACGCCGCAAAAGGAGGCGTAGTAGAAGTAAACTCACGTGAAGGGAGCGCATGCTATCCTAGAGCGATACGAAAACGAGAAAGAGAGAGAATATGCTCACGCAATGCAATCCCGAGCCTCTAAGACCGGTATATATATTTATAGTTGCATTTCTGCCGAGGGACTTAAAAACTAGTTTTAAGATATATGGTTTAATGGCAGGTTCCTGGAAATTAATTTAATATTTGCGACAAATATATTATAAACTGATCTCAAGTTGATCTTCATAAATCTGCATCGAGAATTTTTAGTTTTTTAAACAATTTTTTCTCTTATTATTAGCGAGAGCTATAATAGCAATATATAATATTGTATTTTTAGAAAATCAGGAATGAGCTTATATGCCGAATATATGAATCCACTCTTGCGTCTCAATATGTGAATTTTATTCTAAATGTTTCTATGCTTTTAAGATGAAACTTAAATAGTAATTATAAAAAGAATTTAAACTCTCCATTTACAAAGACAGTATTTTGGTGTGAAAACCAAAAATTAATTATAAGTAGCTAAAAAAAGCTATTTATAATCAATACATTTGAAAGCAAGACTATTGAGAAAAGCATCCTATTGTTGCTAGAAATCAACACGTTCTTACTGGTGCAAAATCTAGAGCATCATGCACAACGCTTAGAGGAGAGTGTTAAGATCTAGCTCTAAAATACAAAAGCGAAGTTATAATATGTTATAATACAGAAGTCGAGGCTTCGCGCGCGGCGTATCTCGCGTCCCCGGACGATCGTCGTATCGCCTGGAAGCGATGCAAATTGTGCAGCGGGCGTACAACGTTCTCCGATCTGTAGTTAGCAATTCTCCCATCTCTATTCCCTCTTACGCGCTTACGAAGTTGTGGAGTTTATACAAGGCTTCGAAGGAGGTGGAAGAGGAACGGTTCTCGGCTCTCGAGAGGGCTTAACCGGCGGGCAGAGAGCAGCAACTTTCGCGTGCTACATAGTCGTATTAGTGTTACGCGTGCTACACTATCGCTCCCCTCCCCCCCTTAAGATGGAATTTCGCCCCGTCCCCCTCGAAAAGCGAAACGGTCCTTGACGAGAGCGAAATGGAGAAACACCGGAAAGCGAAAAGCTTCGTGCGTTGCCATTAAAAATCTTCTGCGACTTCTGCGAGAGAGAAGAGCAGCATTAAGCCAGATGTAGGGCGCGCCATAAAGGAAGAAGCTACCATAAAGGAAATTCTCCCTTTGTTCAATTATTCTCGGTCTTACGCTTATTCTAGTCTTTACTCGTTATGTGCCACCGTCGGAAATAATGAGGTCGTTACGTTGCGAATATTTTATAAACGCTATTCTCTCTCCTTCTGTAGAAATACAGGATTGAGTACATCAGCAATTATATGCGACATCTGTTGCATCCCTTTAAATCATTTATTATTTAATATTAAGTAATAGTAATTATGATTTAACCTTTTAACTACCGTCGCGGCTCCTTTGTCATATACTAGCATTGTCGTCGAGTCTAACTCTGTGAGACGGTAATTAAAGGTTAAAATAATATAGATTTTTTTTTAAACATTTGACGCGGACAAATTTCGAAATATTTGAGATACTCTGTAGTTGTAAATGTTCCAATATTTTCTTAAATCTTTCTTTATATATTAAGAGGGGATTTATTTCTCGCTTACAGCAACAACAGCAGCAAGCGCAACAGCAGGCGCAACAGCAACAGCAACAACAGCAGGTCGGCTCGCCGGGAAGCGGAAATGTAGGGAAGGGCAGTCCATCTTCCGGTAATTCGTCTTCCCCCGGAACGGTCACTACTTCCAACAAGACCCAAACGGAACCGAAACCGGTGGAGTGCAATCTGTGCCATCGAAAATTTAAAAACATACCCGCCCTTAATGGCCATATGCGACTCCACGGCGGTTACTTCAAAAAGGTAAATATTTGATAAGGACAACGCTTAAAGAAGCTTTTGTTTACGTATTTATGCGAATAAAGCTAAGAGCTTAATAAGAAATGAGCTTAACGCTCTAAAATATTCTAATAACGTTTTATCTTGTAATTTTGCTATATACATTTTTAGCATAGCGATTATGAAGCGGAATCAAACCATATATATAATGCATTTCAAATCCCAGGCTGAACAAAATAATTAAAATTAAGTGAATGCGTAATTAATATCCGATATATCCGATTATTAAATAAAAACTAAACTTTATATGATGTGCCCTCATTATATTATAAATTTTTCCATCTTATTTTATTCAAGAAAGCTTAAATCTTCTTTTCAGAGGAAAACTATCGAATATTTTATTACAATTATATAAAAAATATTGTTTTCAAATGTCGTCTACATCGCGAAGTGTAATGTGACAATGTAAGATCATACGTTGTAGCTTGACACTTTCTTTCGGTCGCAGCCATTTCTTCAGGATAAAGGAACTCATCTCGCGGCAGCTGATTTCATTTGCATCCGCCCGACCGCGCCGTCCAAACTTCATTTTCGGCGCGAAAACTTTAATATTCGAGAAAATCTCCGCGCGCGATTCCAAAGTTATACCGCGCCGACGGTTGCATCACCATATGAATTCGCAATCGCGCGAATTCGCGCGAGCGCATCTTGCATCCGAATAATCAACCGGCGTTTCTATGAAAATCTCATCAAGCTGCCGCCGTCATCTCAGGGGCCTCGAGGAACGCGATACTCGAGGATGCACCCTCAAGGTGATAATCGCCGCGTTGAGGGTGCAAAAAAGACGTAAAAAGTGATATAAGAGAAATCGCGGAAATCGCCCTCCGAGATCCGTGCGACTTGAGCACACCTTTCCCTCCTTGCGTCTACCTTTTCCCATCTCTTCTGTTCCTAGACGGAGGAGGATGCGAACAGCGGTTTTCTTAATAAGGTCAGGAGGTAAGGCGTTGTTGCAGCCGTTGAAATAGAAAGATCAGCGATTCCGCGAAAATCCTTTCTCCCCTCACCGCTTCCGTCTTTTCGAAGCTCTTCTTCCGCTGATTAAAAATGTCTTAACGAAGGCCACGTCGTTTAGAAAAGTGCTGAAAAACTCGTCGGACAAAAGTTTTCCGTTTTTCACTCGATTGTGGATGGTAGGCAGGGAAAAAATGAATGGCGGACTGGAGATGTTCTTTATTCTGCAATTGAAAGACGATGACGTAATCGGCACTACGGAACGAGTGGGAATAAACTGATCTGACGGATGGCATTAAAAGGCGAGAAGAATAATAATCGACATATTGAATCGCCACACATAAATCGAGACTTTTTTCCAACCTATAAGACTTTATCGCGTGATTGTGAAAATATGAAAGTTTGAGAAGTGTTTTATAAGAAAAAGAACTTGACATATACAAATATGTACATCGAATATTTTATGTGAATATAATAAAGATAAACGTGAATTGCGTTTGAAAATTTAAATACCTTTAAGAATGCAAAAAGAATGTATTATTTTTAAAGAGGTTGTACGGCAAATGCAATATGTTAAGAATTATTTGAAAAAATTACAGACTATTCTAAATTGCATTTAATAATAATACAAAAAAAATAGAGACAGTTGACCATCTGGATCAAAAGTTATTTAAATAAATAATAATATTTTTTTAATTTGTACTCTAATATAAATATATGAAAATGTATTATAAAATAATGATAAAAATCTCAATTTTTTTATATAAATACTTTATGAATTCAACAATATTTATGTAAAGTTACCTTGAGATGTAGACATTAGTTGTTCAGTAAATAAATAAAATTTATTTGTTATAAACTAATGGTGAACCTCAATGAAACTTTGCATAAGTCATGTTTAAAATAAATAATCTATAAAAATGTGTTGCTCAATAAAAGCAGAATGTTATTAACACAACTTTCATACGTATGTAGTTTGTTTAAAGCGTAAATAGTAATATATGTGTATTATGCCCTTACAACCTCCTTAAATATTTATTTTTAATTCGTCTTCATATTCGTCCTTATGAATTCTGGCGCTACTTTCCCTTTATATCTTTCACGCTCTTGTGTAATCTTGACAAATAAGTACGTCAAATTAATTTTCCAATTAACATTTTTAACGACCATCTAACCTTCCGCCGTCGCTTACTGGTAACCCGGTCCTTCTTTCCTCCTTATTCCATTCACCTTTACGTAAGCGATGGCGGATGAGAAGACCGCTCAGTAACGACTCGATAGAGTAAAGATTGGAACGAGGCGGGTACGAGGACGAGTAAATCAGCGAAGACGAGATAAAACGCAGACGAGCGAGAGAGACGTTACCACCGGTGGATGGGAAAGGTAAGACGATGATCGAATCCAAATGAACCCATTAACAAGCTCTTTGGTTCCACCCAAACCCCGAACCAATCCGCAGCGAGTCCGCTGGTCTCGGGGGTGGAAAAGAGAGGAAGAGCAAGAGAGATACGATTTAACGGTTCAAGGGAAAGAGAGGGAGAAAAAGAGAGAGAGAGTGAGAGAGAGAGAGGGGTGGGAGGAAACATTGCACGCGCGGAGAGCCCCGTGCAAACATTGTCTCGAGCTTTCTCCATTATGCAGATTGAATCTGACTGGTTACGGTCGAGGTTTTCAACGGCGCTGCTCTCGTTTCGAGCACCCGAGTTTTCACCGCGATACGCCTCCTCCCTTTTGCCCTACGTCCACCCTCTCGAACACCCCCTCGTTTCTCTTCTCCTTTCTGTGAGTATTCGCTCGTCCATGTTCGACCAACGTGAGAGACCAACGGGCGCCGCACTATTGCGAAAGCTCTATCCGGTTGCCGGCAACCAGCAACCCAACTTCCCATGGCCAAGCTTTTTGCCCGGTCGCACGGAATTATTGAAAAGTTTCGATGGCCCTTTGGATTCGTGGATATATAGCCCAGATTAATGCACGGGAACGGGGGAGAGAAAGAGGTAGGAGAGGTGAGAGGAATGAAACAGGAAAACTCATTGAGTTGTATAGACAGAGTCTCGTTCATCGTGTAACCGCGTTAGTTGTTGTTCAGGACGCGTGTTTGTGGTGAGAGGAGTTAGTGGCCACGTTCAGGTTCATTAAGTGGCATCTGCTGTTAATCTCCGTGTGGATGCGCTTCTCTTTCCAGGAGGTTCCAGCAGGTTCCAGGACAGCCATGTAGTGGCGGGCTTTAGGGCCGAATTATAGCCCTAATTCGTTGTATTTTCGGAGAAATCGCCCGCATATGCCGCACGCGGCACGTTTACCACCCCCACGAGCCGATGGCCGTTTTTCATTACATTGTACGGTCGCGTGACGAATGATTTTTCGGAGCGATAAATCGTCAGCAATAAATCTGCGCCGACGCGTTTCAGATTTATTTTCTGTAAGTAGTTGACGTGCAGCACGATTGATCGTCTGGAGGTAGGAATTGTTGGAAAACGTAAGCGCGCTATGGATTGTCGATTGATCAATGCCTCGCGTGGTTGAGATAAGAACAAGAAATATCGGAAATAGCCGCGTAGGACCGTCGGCAGCGTCATTCATTAATCGCCCCCTTTGTAATCATACTCCATAAGACATAGCCTATGCGCTTCTTCTGAATTGTATTACACGCTGGCGTAAAATAGAATACTGATAGATATATCGACCAACCAAGATAAAAACACCAAGTCGATAGATACGTCTTTTTCCACGGTATACGCGAGATATTTTTACAGAAGCGTAAAAATAATTCGAAATTAAATTAAATCGATGTATCAAGAGAAAGTGCTGATGAACTAGATAAATCTTTGTTCGGCAAATTGCACACACTTTTCGCGGAGTATAAAAATAATTCGTACAAAGAAACGTTACCGAAGAAAACTCACAAGAGTATAATCACGGATAATGATGGTCGCTGGAGATAATTCCGGTAGCTGTAATCGACACAGATCGAATTGATGAGTCCGGGATCGGCGCGGCGCGGCGTGGCGGACGTTCCGCAATCAATTCCGCGTATTAACGGCCGCCGATCAATATTCATGAAGCGAGCGGAACGATGTACGCCCCGTCAAAGACAGAGTTCAATTTCGTGGGAGGCGTGATATATACGCGGCCGCGGGTGCGTAAGTGCGCCGCGTTACACACGTATCGAAGTAGGAGATAGGAAATTGAGGGGGTCGCGAGAGGTCGACCGGCCGCCCGCTCCGTCCCATTAAGGATCGACGAAGATGACGATGATGACGTATGTATCCGGAGAGATATATTATCGACGCCATTTACTAACGTAAGGGCAATGGCGGCGGAAGATGTATGCGCGTGAAACACCCTCGAGTATTAGTATGCTAATTATAAACGTATCCTGAAACTCACCGGCTGCTAAATGCTTTGCGAGCGGCAGCGACCTCTCTAGCTTGCATATCGTGGGGACCAGTCGCGAGGTCCACTTTGCACGATGTGCGTATAACTCGCGGAAACTTTAAGTAATATAACTTTTACGCGCGGGACGCCTTAGGGAAAAAATTACACGGACTTTAAGGAATTCCCGTGCTTAGTGAGTTAGGAAGTAGGACCTCCGTAGCTCGCGGCGACAGTAAGTTCGCGAGCAAGAACGACTTATCTTGCGGGATGTGGAAAGGGTAGGTTCTTGCGAAGATACTACTTTGAGGATAATAATAAATCGATACGATGATGATAAGTCCGTGAGATGCTATTGTATCGTCAGTGTATTGCGTTTTTTTTTTTATCGTTCTTTCAATTGGTCGATCGATATTGCTAGGTAGATGGATAAAAAAATTTATTATGTCGTCTTGGAAATGCTATGTAGCAGCATTGAGCAATTGAGAGCTTTTATAAAAGCATTGAAAAAGGAAATATAATTTTAGATAATAGACAGAATAGAAGGCATCGAAGTATAAGTATCAGAAAATATTAATAATCGTATATACGAGATAAAGATAAAAAGAATTTCAAGATTAGAAAAAATTTTAAATAAAGTAAAAAATATTTTTCGTACACTGAAAAAAAAATTTACCAAATTTTCATAAATATTTTACTCGATGAAAAAGTGATATACTTAAATCAAATTGATTCTTGTTCCAAATAAATATATATTTACATTTGGTATATATATATTTATTATAGTTAATATTCAAACAAATATTTATTAAAATTTAATAAATTTTTTTCAATGTAATTTTTCTCAAATTTTTGTGGTTTGTATCTTTGTTAAATGATAATTTCTTCAACACACACAAATATTAAGCTATATAAAGAATGAAAAATACATAAATTTTATCACTACGGTATATTGAGATTTCGCGATTCGGAAGTTTAGACACTTGATTTGATTCTTCGCGAGCATCAAGAAATTAGGCGCTTTCCTTAGCGCCGGGTGTATTATAGGATGTTGAATCGCGCACGCCGGAGATTCCATTACGATATAATCCAACGGGCGCCTCAATTAGCCTTGCTCAGTGATTAGCGTGCGCATCTCCGGCCCCTCCCGGCCTCCTGCTTCTCCTATTCACCATTGTAGTCTCCCTACGTCTCCCTTAGTATCCTGCGCGTCAATTTGCCCGTGATTTGAGCTTCTAATCCAGGTTCTCCCGTCACGAGTCCTTCGTAGCCGGGGGTTCAACGAGGATTTTGGCTAAACTACGAGTTCTAGATGAGTCCAGGTAAAATCCTATTGCCACGCACGACCAATGAGACCCAGCTTTGTTATATTAGACTACAATCAGTTGACAAAATATCCAATACATCAATATTTCGCGTATATAATTTTTCCTCCCATTAATGACCAATCCATTTTTAACAAAGAATTTGAAAGCAATTACGCGGAAAATCTATGTATTTAGAACACTTGATAGTATTCAGTTTTTATCACGCGGACTAACAACCTGTTCGTTTAATTTAACGACGCATTTCTTTTTATCACGTGTTACAGGACGCGGAGAACAAGAAGAGCGAGAAGAAAGAGGTCGTTGGGCCACCTCTGCAAACGGCGTCCGTCAGCGTGAGAGCGCTCATCGAGGAGAAGATCATACAGAAGAGAACGACAGGTAAGGATAATTCAAGATGAGAGGACAATCGATAATTTTGTCAATTACAAGTTATTGCATTTTTCGTTAATGCTCCAGTGACATGACACATCGATCGTGGCGCCGATAACAAAGTTTCACGTTGGCGATGTATTGTTCAAGGCAATATGGTCAAAAGAGGCGCAGTGACCGCGACAACGTCATTGTTCCGTTTAGAATCCCGAAGGTATACACGTGTCATAACCGCGGGAAAAAAAGAATTAATACAGTATTCCGGCGGGCGATGCTGAGAACACAGAATCCACGAATGCGATTCTGGCGTGATTTACGGATGCGTATCCCGAATCGACTGTGTATCTCCCGTTTCGTCGTCCTCCCGTTTATCCATTTCTCCCTCACACGCGTGCATATACATTTGCCACCCCGTGATATTTCGCGAGGGGGAGAGGGTACCTCCTCTCTATGGGGGTACAGTGTATGGACTGCCGAAGAACCGTGATTTACGAAGCGAACACGCCAGAATATTTCTCGCATTGTCCACGTTGGTACGATAAATCAAGCCGACGGCAGTAGCAGAACGGACCCGGCGGGCACCAGGCTCATGCTTTTGTAACAAAGTGCGCGTCGTTAGCAATTTATGCGCGATTTCGCCTCGGCATCTGCCAAGAACGGCAAGGGATAATCCGCTACTCGGCCCAGCGTCTTCTACGTTGCTCTTTTCGGTGCCTATAAACCCAAAATAAGCTCAAAATCATCGATCGTGCGTTCGGATCCTCGTAAACCTGTATATTATAGATAATTACTGATCGTTAACTGTAAAGTCTAAAATAATTTTTAGAAAAAGATCAACATCAAAGTCTATATTTATTTATGTTTACTAACAGAATAACGTAATCAAAATTTTTGCTTCTTGGAGTTTAGAAAAAAATACGTGTAGTTTGTTTTTCGGAAAGATTTGTTTCAGCTTTAGGTTTGTCTAGGAAATTCTTCAATGTATTTTTGTATTTATAGTTATGAAAAAATAAGTCATTGCTCTTGTTTCCTTTTCAGTATATATATATATAAAGATTTCATACTGAAAATTAACTATATCTATATTTAGCTTGAAACAATTTTTCAATTCTGCATCGAAATATGCGTGAGTAGTGAAGAAGTTACGCAAAACGCACGTCGTTACTTGTAACAATGAATAACGTGATTCGAGTAGTATATACTTTCCATGTATTTTGTATAATTTATTCGAGAGAGAAGTGAAATTAATGCAACACAACATTTTTCGTGTAAATCTAGATTTGACTTTTAACGAAATGATTTTCTCTTGACCAGCAATTTCTAGAACGCGTAATGTTTAACTGGAGGTGCAATTGTTCGTTCACGCGCGAAAAAGTAAGCAAAAGGTAGAGAAAACGGCGCTATTTCAAGCGATAGTATAGATCGAATCATTGGACACGCAACATTATATGACTGTACGGTAAACAGGCAAGCTCCTTTTCGAATTCTACCATATGATGGACTCGGAAATTCTATGAATATTCGATCACGTGTGGTTATTAATCAGCATACAATAGGAACTGCTATCTACACACAACGTCGTTTCCATCGGCACGCCGGGAATTGTTGACAGTCATTTAGCCTGGCCGTTGGTTGGCTCAGCCATTATTTTTTGAAAGCCTCGAAAGTGGCCGCACAACAAGATCGATCGATAAATAATTTGCTGGCGGGAGCGTGCTAGTCGCGATGCATCGGGAATGCGCGTTGCACCGTGCGTTGTTTGGTTGTCGGTGGTGCAACGGCGCTGGCGTACATTTTTGACAAAGGGTTGGCGCGGGGGAGGGGGGGGGTGGGAGGACGAGAGAGAATGAAACATTGATGGGAACGCACTCACACTAGTCGCTCAGTAAAATATTATCTATCAGATGTTTCCCGTGCACTAAAGAACGCGCGTCTGATAACAATCATGCGATAAATCAAACAAATAATTAGACCTGTGACATTCCACGACGATTGTTTTTCGATAGTTCTATTTCGTTCTTCGTAGATATATGTTCAACAATGTAATTATTCAATTATAATCCGTTCGACAATTTTTCGGTAATTATATGTTTTCTTATTAAAGATTATTTATTACATTTAAAATAAGCAAAATACAATTTAAAAATTTTCCGAATCCATCAAAGTAATTCAAGATTAAAAAAAAACAAAAAGTTATTGGATTTAATCAATTTTTTGTCGGGGAAGAATTTAATTTCGGTTTGATGAAAGATTTATTTTAAAAAATGTGCGTGTTATTTCTAAATATGTATATATATTTTATATGTATGCCCATATTAAAAATTATATAGATTTGCGGATTATCAACGCAAACGAATCTTTGCTTTGTCCTATCGGCTTTTTCGCAGTGGCTGCTGGTACTGTTGCATCGACCACAACAATTTCCATTCAAAGTGCGGATAGGACAGACCGGAGACAGGCCCGCGTGACTGCCTCGTTGGAAGCAATTTGCCTCGCCGCGATCGATGATTGGCAATTTGTAAAAATATCACACGGTCTCGCGTCAATGTGTGCCGATACGCTGTCACACATACGTCACGGAATTTGCGGTTTATGCAAATGTATAAGTCTCGAATGCCTTTCACGCGATGATCAATAAAACCGGACGAGCCTCGTTGCGCTTTTTACGAGCTGAGGAATAGATATTCTTTGTTTCATAAATGAGCAAATTTATCTTTTTTTAAATTTCTAATTTTATCAAGATTCGCGGTGAGACAAAGTTAGAAGTAATATGTTTTTATGTATTTATGAAAAATATTTATGGCAGCATTGGCCGTGTAAAAATTCATATAATACTCTTACAAAAATTCACTCGAGGCAGCTAATTATATACGCTACGTGTGATGAAACTATAGGATATTATGGACTGATGCACGGTATAATGGTAAAAAAAGGAAAGTAATATTAAAAGAGCCGGCTCGAAGCCAGAACGAAGAGCAGATATTCATGAAATCGTCGTGGAAAAGTTTCGTCGTGATACAGCTGTACACTCGGCGAATCCCATTTCCTCCTTTTTTTCCCCCCCGCGGCGACCAGGATATGCACGCATTTATTTCCGTCGAGTTGTACGGCTACCATGAACGATTGTACACGCTATAGAATATATTTTTCACTATACTGCGATTTCAGCGGTGGTGGAATATTTATTGCGGTGCACGGTGGAGCCAAGTGCGAAGAGAAGAATTACGATTCTTCTACTTCGATTTAAATAAGGCAAAAATATTCTATTAACTTTTCGCAATCTTAAGTAAATTAAATAAAATGCCTGATTATTTTACGAGAGTAAAATATAACATTTGCTTTCTCCATCATTTATCGGAAATTATTAGAAATTATTGAATTTTCTATCATTGCGAAATCGGAAAATAAATCCATAGAAAGATATGAATTTCGCATAATACTTTTGATTAATTAAAAAATATATATCATATTCGCGTTCTTTGAAATTCGCGCGGAAAAGGGACACGAGCTTTTACATGTCGCCAGATATTCCTGATCAGTGATTATGATCGAAAAGCTCACTAATATTTTTCCCCCACAATTTTCGGCGCGGCATGTCGGCTGAATGTATTTCATGTCTGCTCAGTTATAATACTCTGTCATCCGTGCGCTTTCGTAAAAATTGAGTCAGTCCGTCAGACTACGGAATATATTATAACTGGAACGGCATGAGCGCTTTTTGAAATTTAAATGTAGTTATTCCAGCAAACCCACCGTTCTCAGGATATGCCATGACGTACCAGCACGCACGCTTTTTTGAAATTTAAATATTGTTATTTTTAGAGATACAACGTACCGAAAAATTTTTATTGCACGGACCGTAGGGGTGCGCCGTACGACGTATGTTGTTGCTTCAGCCAATCCTCTCTACGCTTTATTTCTTTTTCCCCTCTCTTCAATTATATATACGTAAAACCAAAGGGAAAACAAAAATCCTCGACGTGCGGAACAGGGCGTGCATCGCGGGCTGAAAGAGAGCACCAATTCGCGACCGCCATTGTCGGGTGAAGGGCGAATAGAGGAAAAAAAGAGCGACAAAAATTCCTTTTATTTCGAGCACGCTATACACTCTCGTTTACGCATACGGGAAAGCTCTCCTCCGCTTTTTCCGCTTTCCGTTTCATGGTCGTCTGCGCCGTCTTTCTGTTTATTCCGCTCGGAAACACGAGGCGTCGCGTACGCACTATGCCGTTCTCAGTAAAAAGGAAAAATATCTTACCGACCAATCCATCTTCCGCGATCGCAAACACCAAGTCTTCAGAGACACCTCTCACGCCTGATGTTTATTCTCGACCTGAAACACGAGAGCAAACTATATACCGTGTGTTTACCGCCAGCCGTTGTAGAGAAAAGCGCTTCTGCCTTTCAAGAACTAATAATAGATAAAATGTGATCGCAATGAAAGCATATTTTCATCCGTCAAGCGCGAAATATTTTTCACTGTTTATGCAAAGGTATAATGACCGTCGAATAAGCAGCTTAACTGTAAAAATGCTTAATAATTGTATAATCTATATTAATTGCATGGAAAGAATGATTTTATTAAAATATCTAAAACCTTTCCCAGAAACAGATCTGAAAATAATTTTATATTATACCATCAAAATAATTACTGTCGTGGCGTTTATAGAGCAGACAGGGATTGAAAATGGAGAACACACGATCACGGCTTAACAAAGTTCGTTTATTGCGATCGTTGAGTACGCGCGTATGTGGTGTGTGCTCGGACGAAAAAGAACGCGGAACAGGAACGTCAACTAGACGAACGTACGTATCATGGTGGAATTATACAAGGTGTGTCGTTCCCGTGGATGCGCAGTAGCCTAAAAGTAGTGGGGAGTGGACAACCAATCATGAGGGGCCCATTCGATTAAAATTCAATATGGCTGTGTTTATTTCGGGGCACTGCGTGTTATTATGACAGATCGACCGTGTGATCAATTATCGTGTAAAACTGTAAGTAATAAACAATATTTTTGATACATTAACCGCGAAAGTAGGTCTGAAACTTGAGTACAAATTTCCGACGGAGGTAATCGCATGTTTGGTGCGAACCAGATCGTATATTAGGTTGCGCAATGTAAATATGCAAATAAAAATAAATAGTGTAATAAGAAAACAAAGAAAACTAAAAAAATGTGCAGTCGTATTTCTAATCGGTAATATTGTTACAGTTTGTAATATTTTATATTTTAATAGGTTAAAATAAAGATTTTATTGTTATTTTAACTTCTAATACTGTTTTTATTAATCATCTGCTGTGAACGTTTGAATTTCACGCGTGTAGAATGGGCCTTACGTGATTGGTTGACAAAATATGTCCCCCCACTCTTTGCCGCCATTATGCGCAACGACACACCTTGTATAATTCCACCATGGTACGTATGACAGAGAGTGCTCTCAATACGCGCCTAATTGTCCGTGTATCGATAAGACCGTCATATTTACTGACCTCAACAATTACAAGACACTCAAAAATCTCAAGCATGCAGAACAACGCTGTAAAAAATTTTGACATTCTAGCAATCAATTTGGAGGCCCTACATAATTATTCTGATGGTTTAACAAAATTATTTTCAGACCTATATCTACTTAGGTAAATGTTTAGATACTTCAGCAAAACTATCCTTTCCATATGCCTATTTAATGTTATTTGATATTTTCATCAAATCAGTCAAATTTTCCAAGATAAGAGATATTTGCAGTTAAAAGCCAAAATTAGATCAATAGCAAATATATATGTACGTTTTTAGCAGTGGACGCGAATGGCAATCAACAACCTCGTACGAATACTACCGCTTTCACCACGCAAGCCGATGCCGTTTCGCAAACCGTCGTCAAGACGAATTTTGCGGTTCCGGCTCCGCCGCCTTTGGCGGCGGGGGAAAAGGTGCGTCGGTTTTCCGATGGTGAACACTTCCGGCAGCCCAATGTCACCGTGGGCCACACAACTGTACAGAAACACTTGCAGGAAACATCAAAAACTCAAGCTCAAGCACAAGCGCTTGCCGACATGATCCTGAAGGTATAACGTCATAAATTTTTTTTCATATGTTTGATTCTAGTGGGATTCAAATAATTATATAATATATGAATAATTATATATACTTTTCGTAAATTAACGATGTAACATATCGTTAATAATTACAACTATTTAGAAAAATATGCATAACGTGTCGTTAATAATTCGTAGGGTACGAAGGTGGCTGTGAAGAGAACAATCTCTGATCCAGGACAAAGATTACACTTAACTTATCAGCAACCTGTACAATCAGCGACGACCAACCAACAACCGAATAATCAGCAGCCACAAGCACAACCTGCGGTAACGGAAAGCTTTACGATGACAGGATACGCCGAGGACGGTGGTTACTTCAGCCCAAGTCTGCAGGACGAAGTATTTCAACAGGTTACAACGGTTCCTGATAGCGTGCTCCTACACGCTACCCACTTGGATTCGATTCAGGTAAACAAGTCTGTTTTTTTAAATTATTTGCATATCATGAGTGCTAATATAAAAATCGTGTAAGAGTTGTACTAACGTATTACATTTTTAAATCATTTATGAAAATTCATGTTTTCGTTCCATCCGTAGTGAAAAGTACACTGAGAAAAATGTACTCATTTTAATAAATATTTGTTTGAATAATTCTATCGGAATATTTACTAAATGTAAACATATATTTTTTGGTACAAAAAATATTAATTTAATTTAATTTAATTACTATTTTTAATAGAAATTCTTTTCGGTCAAAGTGGATCTTAGTGCTTAATACTAAATGCAAATTTTTGCAAATACAGTATCTCAATATTATTTTTTTATTTTATAAATATTCAATTATCGAAAGTAAACATTAAGTTAGTACTATTTAAACAAATATTTATTAAAATTTAGTATGTTTTTTTCAGTGTAGAGTGCAACATTTCTATTTTCAACGTACATATTCGTGCCACAGTTTCAGACGGCCAATCTGTTGCAAGAACAATCTGCCGAACAGCTGCAAGATATCACACTGGAAGACAGATACTCCTCGCAGCACACAGTCAATCCAGATCTTCAAGCGTTGGTGAACTCGCCGTTACCTGATTCTCTGGCCGAATTTAGTACTTACGCCGCGCAATACACGGAAAGTCCTCATACGTTACCAACTCAATCGCCCCTACCGTCGCCTTTAACGCGACACGATAGCCCGAGCTTTACGTATCCGACGCCACCGGCCAGCCAGGAAGGCTTGCTCACCGGAAGCCTGCCGTTGCTAAGTCCTCAGGAAGATCCGGAGAACGTGAGACACGTGTCATCGCCGCTCTCGGCGGCATTTTACACCACCACGATGTCGTCCGCTGCAGCCGTGGAGGAGGCGTTGAACGAAGTGTTACCGGGTGAATCCGATGCAGATGCGGACCTCTACGGGTCCGGTTCGCCAAATCCACACTCGCCACTGCCAAGCCCGTTGTCAGCGACATCGGCGCCGTCGCCGCTGCCACCGTCCTCTGTCTCGTCGCCGGGACCGGTTGCCTTTACGGGCACTAACTTTCCCGTGTCGCCGCATAATGCGCTTCAAAATCAGATGATGCCGAACTCGGAGGATCCTTTACTTTCCTCGACCTCGAAGGACTTTGCCGCCTCCGGTCGTAGACGATTCGAGTTCCAATCGTACAAAGTAATTACGAGCCAAAATTTGATGGACTTCGGTCTTGGAAACGGCAGCGTAGCTGGTATCGTCGTCGACAACAACGGCGACGTCAAACTGATACAGACAGCGGGTCTGCAGAAGGCGAATGTGTACGTGCAAGCGGGTTCTCTCAGTCCTGCGCTGACATTCAAGAAGGAGATCCGCCTAGCGACACCAAAAATCGAACCCGTAACCGTGAATCTCGGCCTGAACGTTCAAACGACAAATCAGCAGCAGTGCAACGTGGGACAGTTTAATCAACAGCAAATTGTTAACCCGGCCAAATTTTTCATTCAAAATAATCACACGACGAAAAACAATATCTTGAGACATAAAACGGTCACCGGAAATTTACCGATACCTATCGATCAGATCAAACAGGAGATGTTAGATGAGGACGTGTTTCTCAGTCCTGGCAGTTTCCCCGCCAGCAGCCCTGTGCGACACTATCGGAAGAGGCCACGCATGGATAGCGGCCAGTACACCAGTAGTTCACATTCTTATCCATCGCGTTTGCGAAAAGCTTGCGACCGCCACTGGGACAGCAGCTACACACCGCCACCGATCCTAGACCCATCTCGTCCCGGTCCGGGGCTGTACGCGAGATTGCATCAACACGAGAGAGACTCGGACTTTAGCTCAGACGATTCTCAAGGAAACGACGGTCCACCGCCAAGAATCAACATCGGCACGAGATATCAAGCCATGATACCTCCGGTGGAGTATGACGGAGACAGGGGAAACGACGGGCCCGAAGCCGATCATCTTCTATGGGATCCCGGCATAAACAATGTACTCACGAACACTGAACGTAAGTTTTTCTTTCGCGAATATCTTAAAAAAGTGTATTGCGAAATATATAACAAGCACCGATTACTTGCAGTGGAGATGTACCTGCAGTTCGCGTGTTGCGCCGCGGTGCCGGGTGGTGGTAGAAACAAGGAATATGCGCTTCATCTGTTGCATATGTGCAAAGGGAATATTCATGTAAGATATTTTTGGAATAGATTTTATAAACATCGAAATTGCCTGAACCTTTTTGATCCTTGTTATTTTTGAACGAAATTGCCGTTGTTGATATAGTGATACTTATTTACGTTCAACGCGTGTATGTTTCAGGAAGCGATGGTGAAATTGATGCGACCAACGCCTACACTACCAATGGAGCATCCTCTGCTCAGTTACGAGTGCCACGAATCCGATAGATGGACGTCACATGAAATGGACGCGTTCTATCAGGGACTGCTCAAGTACAACAAGGACTTCTCCGCGATTTCGCGGGACGTCGGTGCCAAGACTGCGAAACAATGCGTGCAGTTCTACTACCTTTGGAAGAGGCTCTGTCCTGACGAGTACAAGAGTCTGCGTATTTGTCACGGAAAAGCGAAGATCAAGAACGAAATTAAAGATAGCAAAGATACCAAAGAGCTACGCGACGCCATCGCGTCCGTGTCGGAAATGGACTTTAGTGAAGACAAATCGATCCTTCATCGTACACTGGTAAGCTTAAATATATTTAGTCGCTTTTGAGTTTAACAATGCAATACTAATACTAAATTAAATAAACGCGTAAATGTGAATATGAAAACATATTCTTTATTTTTTTGTATATTTAGCTACAATCAAGCGGAAGAGAAAATTCGGCGACTCTGACCACTAGCGAAGGAGAGCTGAGGTTATTCGCATACGACTGTACAGATGTAAGTAATAATACTTCTTATTATACGAACATCTCATGTACAATTGTTCGTACAATTAATTACACGAGAACCACATGTCTAACTCCTGATAATAATTATTCAAAGTTAAACTAAAGTTAACTTAAGAATAAATTTAAATCTCAATTAGGCAATACACATTGCTGTGACATATTTTAATAGCATATTATAAAACAAATAATTCAGAGAAAAATATACATTCACATAAGTTATTTTTATGTCTGCTGCTCACCGCATATCCTATTTCTTCACATATGCCGAGTACGAAAAATTTTTTTTAATATCTGTTACATATTATTCTTTTTATTATACTTTTTAATATAAAAGAATAATTTTTATCTTTGTAAAATATTATTTGATATCAACTTTATTTAACAATTTCGTACTCGGTGTCAAATATCTTACACGCGTAGATACGTGTGAAGATACCTAAGTGTCGCATGAGATTGATTGCTGATCCGTCGTTTTCTCACGCTTCATTTTATGAGAATCGAGGATGTTGTGCGTTGTGTGACCGTTGCGTTACTTATCTGTCGTCGCCGTGTCGTTTGTTTGTGTTGTTTATTTTGGCTTTGTGTTTTCTTTGTGTTGTCAGAGCTTTAGCGGAAGTGTAACAGTAACGATGGCCGGAAGCACCCAAACCGCCCAAATCGGCAATACCAGCCACGCCACAGTCAACACCAACTCACAAACTCACACTAGTTCTGAGCAACAACTACCCGTGCCTACCCCACTTCACTACCCCTGCAAGATTTGCGGGAAGTAAGTCTCCAATCTCTAATCTAAATTATCCATTTCCAATAATTGACGGCGGAGCTCGTGCTCTAACGGCAATGTAAGCGGCAAGTATTGGCGCATTTCACATAGAGATCCTTGCTTGTAGAGGGACAGAATGCATATAATCTAAAAATGAATATAGTGAACCGATGCTAGTTATATAGTTTCAAAATTTCATACATATACCACAGTGTATATACTTCGTCAAATGATTCGTAACAATACAAATAAAAACTATTTTAAGCAAGTTAATGCAACAGCAAAATACATATTTCGAAAACAGAAATATAATTAAACAGCATCTTTGAATACTTTGAAAACTAGAATCAACCCTGTATATAACTTATGTGATAAAACTGATTTTTTTTCTTGATGATAAACTACATATTGATACATTTTTAGAAACTATATACACAAACGCCATTCACGATATACATCACGATTTACTAAAAAACTTAATATTTTTAATAAATAAATATGACAACGATATTTATTGTATAATATACTCCGTTATTAATTTTGTTTGATTTACTGCTGAATTCAATTAAGATATTTAAGAACATTTTTAATCCGTTTTTTGCCATTGGCGATTTTGATTAATCATTTAATTTTTTGTTAAATATGCCTGGCACACATTCTTATATTCTATCAATATTTTAATTTGCTGCCTATATTCTCCCAATTGTATTTCTCAATGTCTCACTTTCCAATAAAATATATGTATAAATCGGCTATATGTTATATATAATTAAAATCAAATGCATAACGCAAGCATGATTTGTTAGACTGCTGTTGCTATGTCGATATTTCCGACTTCTTACGTTGTGTGTTAAATATTTGTAAACTTACTAAACTGTACACTATGAGTGTCTGAATTAAAACATAATCCAATGCTTGCAGAAATGTTTCTGAATGTGTACTTAAATTTTAATCATTTCTACGTATATTTGCATTATTTCTTATGAATTATTAACACGCGAATCTCATAACAATCTTACAACCGGGAGTGTGTTTATGCGTGTAGACTTCGCAATGTTAGATTTCGTCCACGTTTCGTTCAATCTCCCTAATATATATATAAGCGGCAGCTTGTTTGATGTCCCAATTATTTTTCTTTCAGAGTTTTCAACAAAGTAAAAAGCAGAAGCGCACACATGAAATCCCACAGGCCAATACCCTTACCCGATTCAACGGGTCAGGAATCTAAGCGATCCACGCAACAACCGTCGAAAGCGCAACAGCTGCAGCAGCCAATGCCATCGCAGCAAAGCCAACAACAGCAGCAACAGCCTGACAATGCTACACCGCAAGCTCAAGATCATCAACAACAACTGCCCGCGAGTATCAGCGACAACAGCGCCAAAAATACAGCACATTTATGTCATAATCCTACGAGGCCCCCATAGGACAGGATTCAAGTAATTAAACTTAAGCTACCTTAACGAAGGCTGTAACGGTACTGTAGGAAAGTAATATGATCGCGCATGGTATATAAACCAGGCTCTAAACGATCGCGATCGTCGCACAATCATTACGTTGTGGGAATATCTTTTTACGAGACCTTTGCTTACAATGGGGCAGGTTGCGTGAGTAAACTTCCAAGATAGATAGTTTCGAAAAAAAACGCAAATATCTTCCGCTATATATGCGAAACTATGCAAGAGAGCGTGACTGGTAAGTTTATCCAGTCAGATGAACTAAATGGTTTTATGAGACTCATATGGAATATGTATCGTAATCGGCCGTTCAGGTAAAAAGAAAAAGACAACACCTATTGTAAATGGCAACTAAGTACGAGGAGTTGTAGAACTCGTAGGGTTTAATGGCGCAGCGATAGAAGGTATTTAATTATGCAATCATAATTCGAGCTCTGTTCAACAAGGAGACAGGGTACCGATCGTAAACATCTTCCTTAGCGTGGAAGACGAGATGTCGGCATCAGTGTAAGAAAAAAACGGTCAGTGTCATTGAAAGATGAAGCAAATTTACAGACTTTGCATTTTGTTGAAAAAAAAAAAGGTAAACGCGATCGTTTAACATTGCCTAAAAAAATCAAACACAACTTGATAAGTAGATGTACGAAAACGTATGTTCGCAACAATGAGTGCTAAATCAACAAAACTGAAAAGGATTGACGTGCACCTACAATAAGCGCTCTAACGATTAAATGCGATTTCAGTGTACCTATTTATTATGCACGTGAAATGTTCCCAGATTGTGCCACAAGACATTACTGTTACCTGTTGCCCTTCCGCAATTTAAAAAAAAATATTTTAGGTTGTTTTCTCTTTCCCCATTACAACCGGGATCAGTTTACATGTGATGGTATTATTTAGAATTTCGTTAAGAAGTCTTTCGTTTGCTTTAATTTACAAATTTTATAATCACTTGAAATAATGGAACATCATTAATATTTTATTTGAATAAAAATTATGCATTCAACATTAATATATTTAATTTGAATAAATACCGATAAAATAATGAGATAAATTGCTTTTTCGTTGGTAAACAGATCCTGGATTGTAATGTAACAACTTGTTGCACGTTCACTCTAGTTACATTTAGTTTAAATATCATTAGCATATCTAAATTAAAATTTGATGAAAATAAGTGGGTCTTATATCACGCGTACGTAGATTTGTTGAAACTCCTTAATTTCTTTACCTCTGTTACTTAGTAGATTAATAGTATACAATTGAATAAAAATTTTAATATATACGATATATGAATATAAATATATATAAATATAAATATGTATAAACACAAATTTATGTAATTGAAAAGAACTCGTTTTAACTTAGGCAAATAATTCTCTAGGAAGGACGTTGTTCAAGTTTCACTTCAGAGGCGTTCCCTGCGTCGCCGATACTGAATGTAAAATAATGATTATACATACGCTCATACATACATATTATACATACGCACACCTAACACACAAATACAGAGAGAATAGAGTACGTTTATTAAATAATATTCGACTTCAATGATCATTAAAATAGCTATATGTACATAAGATGTGTATATGTTTGTACATATATAACATCAGTGTCTGTATGTACAATTAAAATGAACTCTATGCAAAATAAGTAGGCTAGGTTTTAGGTTGTTTTAGGAGGGATCTATATACATATATATATATATAAAGAAAAATATATATACTTGGCTTCATTTTCTACCTACTAGAGGCTACGTGGCGAGGCTCTTGTAAAAACAATGACTGGTCGCATGTTTCCACAATCTTTATAAATTTTTATTTCCCGTTCAAAAGTTGTTATAATGATGTTCCTATATGTAAGGTGCCTTAAGCAATCAAAAAGGTTTACTTTTCTCTGATATACCTCGATGTGATGCATTGCATTAAACGCATTGAATTAAAATTCCCCCGATTAATGTTATTTTTTTTATTAAACCAACATAAAATTAAGAACAAAGAAATAAAAATAATACGTATAAACTTTGAAAAGCCGATATCAATTTTTATCTGTTCTTTATGAAAAATATAATATACTCTGACAAAGATTTCACAATTTACGTCTTCCGATTTTCAGGCACGCTTAGCTATTTTATTTCAGACAGTTTATCTTTAGTTGTGTTCATGTATTTATATATATATAGGAACATCCCTCACATAATCATTCAGTACATTTAGAACAAAAATAGCGTGCATTTTATTACGATAAATATAATAAAAATGTGTACTAAATTTTATAAAGATTAAAATATATTTATATATCAAGTTTCATTTATATTGAAACTCTAAATTGTTATTCAAGAGAATTGCCAATCGTAGATGCTCTGATTCTATCTTGAGGACATTGTTATTGTTAACATTCTTCTTCTTATTAACTTTTACCATTGAATGATCGCGCACACACACACAATGTATACTTTAACTTTTGAAACTTTTCTCAAGTAAACGCAAGTGACTGAGAACACTTTAAAAAAAGTCTGCCAAGTCTTTATAAATAAAAACGGCTCTAAATCTTCCATTTATTTCAAAAACTATGATTGTAAATGAAAGTCTAATTGTCGGAAATGGGAAATATCTTTCCTATTAAGACATTAGATATTCAAAACTCTGTACTTTAGTGTTTATTCTATCTTTACGTGTGTGTCTCATTAATCTCCTCCCCGATTTACAAAAATGTAATGCAAACTAAACATCAAATATTCCGGCCACAACATCTACATTATCTATTTATTTACAGACAAGAGATTAATATAAGGGGGTATCACCAAGGGCACTAATTTAATGTTCACATAATATTATTCGAGATTTAAAATTGTCATCTTTGCTAAATTTATCGGCCTATAATAATTATGTACAATATGAGAAGACAATTTTATTAAATATTTTCGTAATAATTAAAAAAATTTTATATGCATTTTAATTCTTCCGATATATTCATGATATTATATTTGCAAATGCTTGTATAATAATTTTTAAGCCCATGGAAATACTCCTTTGTAATCCAAACTAAATGATTCTGTAACGGCTGAGTAATGGCTTCCAGTACAAGAACAAAAGTGTAGTATTAGAGATCGATATACTATACTATAAGATTCTAGAATTTCGAATCTTAAAGTTAGTTTATTTAAGGAATAAAATTGTTATAAATTCCGACCGTAGGCTCGGTGCATAGGTCGAATACAACAAAATTAGCAGACATATCATTTAAGACAATACACTTGTTACAGAAACTAAGTTTCTACTAATATAATTATTATTGTACGTAATCTAACTCTTAATCAGACTTAGAGCTTCAAGAGAAAGATCATAGGTAGTAATAAAACAAAGAGGTAATATGTATTGGCTGACCAAATCCAGAAGATATCTAACAATTGCAGCAATAAGTTTTTTTTACAGACTAAATAATTTGTTTTGTCAAAATTCTAAAGTGAATTCACAAGTCTGTACACTATAAATTTTATAAATAAGAACTTAAGAGTTTTACAAGTTTGACAGATTTTTTTTTATGTTAAAACAAGTTCGACTAATTTTTTTTATGTTAAAACAAACAATATTCTGGATTTAGAACAGTAGCAATACAAAACACAGTACTGGAGGCTACTTACTCAGAATGTGGGAAAGGCATGAAACGAAGCAATGAAACAGTAACGAAGAAATGCATGAATTGTACAAACGAGTCCCTCCACGTCACAGAAAAAATGATATATCTATATGAAGAATATATATATAACAAAATGATAACTATGTGATGTATTTAAATGATATGTGGTATATGGTATTACATATTTGTACATAGGCGGACCCGTGCCATCAACTAGTGAGTTGTACCGATATTGTACTGCCATAAATCGAATAGCGATGACATCGAGTGAATGGATCTGAACTAATCATCGACAAATCTATACGATATCATTTTTGTTTTTTGTGCTCTCGTACGTGTATGTGATTAGACGATTAACTTGAAGTTACCAACTAACACTTAACTTAATGGCTGTGCAAATGGAGCATTTTGCACTCATCGACAAATATTAAACAAAGTTTTGTTGTTTCATATTTTACATTTTATTGTATGAGCAGTTTATTCACATCGAAAATTACCGTTCTGTTATTATTATATTACTCCTGTTTAAGTTGATGTCACAACATGTCTAGATATGTGCCGACATTACATGTTTAATTTGTTGAAATATTTATTTACGTTTATTTTCGAAATCCCATAACAAGCTGACAAAAGACATTGATCGTGATTATTGATTTCGTGCTTATTTTTTATTATAGACGACTACCCTTTATTATATTACTGTACTAATATTTGATACTGTATTGATGATTAAAACATTTACTGATTCCCGCATTCGCAGTTGTAAATCATATTGCAAATTCATACACGCATAAAATAATTGGGACAATTGAATTGGAGGGAAGAAAAGCACTTAAATAATCGAGCAATATATATGTACAAAAAGAAAGTTAGACTTTTTTTTCGACAACAAATACTTATAGACGTATCATCGTTTCCTAGCATATAGTTGCAGAATTGTTAGCGATGTTTTAATATATTAAGTTAATTTCATTATTATCGATAATTTATTAATTATTTAGATAATTACTATTATATAGTGACTATTGTAGTACTTATTCTGTTGTTTTTAAGTAAATTTCGCGCAATATTTCCTACAGAATGTTCAATGCACGCCATGGTTCGTACGTTGACAAAGCTCTTGATAATCGTTAAATAATTTAGTACTGGTGGAGTTTAATAAGTTGTGGAATATATTGGTACAACTCGATGAAGAAAGTGTAGCGTGGTTATACACCTGAGGAATGTGCTCAAAATATTGTATTAAAGAGAAAAAAGTCTACTAAATGATCATCAACGTTTATGCAAAATTACTCTTAATAAGTGAAAAAAGTTATTACGGATTATTAATATAATTATTAATATCGTAATCTATCGTCCTCTTACCTATTACCTACTTTAATGTCTATCTCTATACACCAGCATGATTCTTTATACTCTTCTATTTGATGTTATACTATTCTCTATTAACTTTTACTACAGAACGTATTGTTAATAGTGTTTTTAATGTACTAGAACATGGTCAGCTGTAGAGGTGCCACGCAAGTGTCACATCGAGATCTGATATATCGAGAACAGATATTACGATTGAAAAAGATAATGGGATGCATATTTACATCGTGAGGTAACACGAGTTCTGACAATTACGTAATTGCATAAACTCATGACTTTCTATTTTCCGTATCATATTAATACGTAAATGTTACTCTCCATGTAAATCCTCTAAAATATATCTAAGGCTCATTTCTATTATTATACTCAAATATATAATTTAATGGTCAGATTGTTATAGCTTAGTTTATATGCGAATTAAAATACGGGACGAGTAAAAGTCATCAGAGAATAAAAAATATTCACGTACACGCAACACACTTCCCTTTGCTCGTATAAATTATCGCAATAATTTTAATAGAATGGAAGAGAAGCACGTGCTCGATAGCAATATAGTCAAGCGGCGCGTTTATACTGTCGTTGTTTTCTTATCTCTCTCTGCTCAACTAGATATTATCTATAAATATATCTATATATTTAGAATCCACATTATCTTAGCTACTTGGAAACCTAATCACTTAATCAGATTCTTGTCTTGCTCAAAAAGACGCGGGCTCGGACGAAGCAACACACAATTATCTCTCGTATCCGGACTGTGTAATAAAATCGCTCAAAAGTTGGTGCCATAAGCAATATGGACAATATATTATTAAATGTGTTATAGTTACGCGTGGACTAACTACAGCTGGCCGGCTAAGTTCTGCTTTCAAAAAGCTCGATAACAAGACGTCTTGCGGTTGTC